TGTGCACATGGAGCCGGTTTGGAGATTTCTGCCATTGTGATACACTATGAGGAAGCTGCTCACTGGTCTCCCTGCTACAACAGGCCAAGGCAAACATAAACATTACAGCAAGGGATACAACCCAGCTTTAAAAAGAATAAAGCTGCTAGTCACAAATAGATTTAATTTTTGTAAAAGCAAATGTTTATATCTGTTGGCAAGAGAATATCACTGGAAAAGTGGGGAGATACATTTTCACATCTTTCTCACTTAGAACTCATGGTACCGCTAGAATATTGTTCCAGTAGTATGGTAGGTACTGCAATTGTGATCTGTTGAGGCAAGTGTTACAGATGGGAAGGAATCTTAAAGGAAAGTAGGATAGTGAGGTATTCCTTCCCTTAAATTAGAAATCCTTTGATGGTTGAAATAAGCTTTTTTTGTGAAGAGAATTCAGGATCCAAGCCATTAAGTACACATTCCTATCTTACTTGAGATCAGATCCACATTTCGATATCTTTTTTTTTTTTTCTGCACAAAGTACTGTCAAAATCTGCAAATGGCAGTGAGATATAACAAATTGATGAGAAAAAGAAACTGTTCTCAATTTAACACCATTATTTAATTTCTCACCTGATCTCGGTGGAGTGATACCAGTTCTGCGGAGCCATTATTTGGAGTTGGCACAACTTTGGCCAAGGTGGCTTTCCTTGGATTGCGCACCTGAAAGACAAATAGTTTGAACAATCAGTCTTTAGAACTTGGATCAAATCAAGCAATATTTAGTATTTTCTCCACAAGAGAGAGGAAACAGCTGCACTTGGGGTAAAGCTACATTTGTATTAATTGTACTGGTTTTATCTAAACTTGAAATAGGTTGGTTGCAATTAGTGTGTCTGAATAATGCAATATTCAGTTTAAATGTGAATCATAAATTGGTATCAAATCATGTTTAACACACCCAAAATTCAGTTAATACAAGGCTAGCACACATGCAGTTGCACTTGAAGTTTTAGACACTGTTAATCTTTGTGTGTGCAAAATAGAAAAAGATGCTGTCAAAAGAAAGTACATGATTAGAAAGAGGCTCATTACAGTAGAGCAAAAATTTGATGCAGCTACGTGAAATGAATGTGATCATAGCAATGCTAAAATAAGATAAATCCTGGAGAATTTTTTTCTTTACATTTTTTCTTTTTATTACGACTTTGCAATTTTGTTAACCATACATTTAAAGCAGATTCTTTTCACTGTAATATTTCATTAATATACATATACAAATTGCATTGTTTGTATACGTATATACAAAAATTTTCACTGACTATTTCCACTGAGCTGTAATGAATTACCATACCAGTTACTTTAGAAGTTTCACTCTGAATAGTAGAAATTTAAATAATGCATTCATTTTGTAGGATTCATTAATCATGCCACTTGCAAAGAAGCCCTGTAGTTTCCCTCCTTTGTTCATCAAAGATAGCATCCCCTGGGCCGTGATGGCAAACCTACGCCACGCGTGCCAGCGCTCCCACACAGTGTGTCAGAGAGCTGCTCTTCCAGTTTTCAGTACACACACACACGCGTGTTCCCATTTCAGCACTCAGTGCCGAAAAGGTTCGCCACCACTGCCCTGGGCTAAGTGAGTAGCATCAGGGAGAAACTGTTTCTACAGTTGTGTCTCATTTCTGAACCGCTCTCCTCAAAAGAGGTCCATCAGGCATTAAACAAATGAGCTTCAAGTATTACCCCATGACTTTATTGCATGCACTGTCTGATTAAAAAAAAAAAATCTTAATTTTTGCTTCGACTGATTTTGCTTGGGGGTTTGAAGAATTTCTTGGCTTAATATTTTGTATTATAACTAATGGAAGACTGCAATTTACCTTTGACATTTCTGGAATAATCAGACACAGAACATATTAATACTTAAAATGAATGAACCATGGCAATGTATCAATTCTAGAAAGCAACTGTGCAAAGCAACATGTAGATGCTTGTTACAGTTTAGTGAAGGCTTCTTCCATTAGGCGTGCATATAATAAGAACTGTGCAGAATGACCTGTCTGGAATGCTTAGAAACCTTCTAAACAATGCAGGAGGTTACCGGTGAGAAAATAATTGAGGAACACCACCAAATGACAATAAGAGGCAGAAAGCTACAGCTTCATAATCTTTCTTTGAATCAACCTATCCTAAGATCATAGTCACTGTTAGCTACATTCTATTATGGTACATGCTTTGTTAAAAGCAAACACTCCTTTCATCTAGTTACTAAATTCAGATTATGATTCCAGTTGGTCTGTTGTTCTACTGCTGAAATCTAACAATTCATTTTAACCAATATTGGCCGTTCCAATAAATACTACTTTTCCAATCATAGGCAGATTTTGCTCTGTGACTTTGAAACTAGGACTTTTTGGAAAACAAACTGAATATATACCCGTAAATTATAGCCTTTTCATATTCTCTTTTAAAGACAGCAAGTAAATACAAGGAAAGTACAGTAATGTCATATAATTCCTGTTAAAGAGGCAGATATAATTAAATTATTATCATGAGTACCAAAGTAGAACATCCTATGATCTGACATTATCTAATCTTTACCAGAAATTAGATATACCTTTACCAGAAGAACAACCAGCATCCTATCTTGTACAATTTTTTTTCTCCAACCACTACTGCAATGAAGCTTTAACACAGCAAAATCACAAGCAGCATTTATATTTATATTAATTTTCCAAAAAAAAAGAGAAACTAGAAATCTACTTTTAAGTCTCTTTGTCACTGTGATAGTTTGATCAGTTATTATGTAATTTCCAAACTGGATATATGCTGATACTGATGGGCTCTGGAAAACTCAATTTTCTTTCAGAGAAAAATATGTCTTCCAAGAATGGAAATTTGGGGAATACTCAATTGTTCATGAAAGATAAATATTGTAGAGAATTTTAAAAAGGAATAGAGATGAGAAATTGTCATTCAATAGGTAATCAAATTCAACCAAGAAAATGTCTGATGTGCTCAGATACATTTTCCCTTTTGTTTTGCATAGAGGTGCAAAACTTTAATAGAATCACTACTTGTTTCCTTTTATAAGCAAGCACTCACATTTGGAAATCAAGAAACCACAGCTTCTCAAAATAATGTACTGGGGGGTGGTGGATCTCAAGCCTATTTTCCTTGGAGGAAGCCACTAGTTAACAAAAATATTAAAAATATGTTAAATAAAACTATCTTGACTAAAACTAAAAATTCTTTTAAAAAATGCAACCATTAAAAAAAGCTTCATTTTTTTTAAAGGGAAAGGGGCAATCCAAAATATCCCATCCATATCAATGAGTTTAAACAAAAGAATCTCAAGCAGATTTACTTCCAATGCAATTACATTCATTAAAATTCAAAGGACCACTACCTATTGCATTCTGTTACATTCCTAGACTCCAAAATAAGCAATCTATGTATGTAGAATAAACTGCCTTTACATGCAAAAAGAAGGCTATTCATTGTAACTTGAGCACATTAAAATTACAGTCAGGACATTAAACAAGAGTAAGCTTAACAAAAGCAATGCCTCAGCAAGTGTGGTATTTGTTTTCATAACAAAACCTAAAGTAGCAGCACAATACAGAAGCAAAATCCCAGTGTCTCCATGAGGCTTTACAGCTGTTCTCACCTTTCAGTCTCAACAGCATTTGGATTTAAGACTCTGGTACCTTTGCACTGCCCATCAGGAGAGAAGTGCAAAGTTTGGCCATCTTATCAGTCAGTCCAGAGCCCCCGTGCAAGGAATCCCTCTAGACATATCTGAGCACCAACACCTCTTCAAAAAAGTACAGATAGTCCTCAACTGACGACTACAATTGAGCCCAAAATTTGTTCAGTGAAAAATTTGTTCAGTGAATTTGTCCCATTTTACCACTTTTCTCACCTTATTTTATTAAGTGGATCCCTGCAGTTTTAAATTAGTAACATGGTCATTAAATGAATCTGGGTTCTCAGTTGACTTTGCTTGTCGGAAGGTTGCAAAGCAACTCCTGAACACAGCAATGGTCATAAATACGAGTTCAGCTGTCAAGCATCTGAATGGAAAGCACCCATGACCATGGGGATGCTGCAATGGTCATCAGTGTGAAAAACGGTCGTATGTCACTGTTTGCGGTGCCGTTGTAACTTCGAACGGTCACCAAATGAACTGCTGTAAGTCGAGGACCACCTGTAAAGCCTGTGAAAAGCTTCGGGGTGCGTGTGGGGGTGGGAGACTGCTTCTCCCCACTTCCCCTGATCTGATCTCAGAAGCCCCAGGCAGAGAAAGCCATGCCAATGTCTGTGTAAAGGCGATACCCCCGCCCACCGCCATTCCGTGCCCCTCTCCCGCGTGGTCCCCCAGGCGCGGGACTGACCCAACAGCAGTAGAGCAAGCAGTGGACGTTGACGCTCCACAGGCCGGCTAAGGCCGTGAGAAGGTGGACGACCCCAATGGCGGCGAGGAAAAGAAGCGCAGCTTCAGGGGTCTCGGTGCCGGCGGCTGACCCCCAAGCCCAGGCGAAGGCGCTCGCCCCCCAAACCCACAGCCAGAGCGGGTACAGGACGCAGAAGGGCAACACCGTCCCCCATAACAGACGCGACCGCCTCCGATATGGAATCACGTCTTGCACCAACTCGTCTCCCGGCCCCGGCCCGGGACCGGCCTCCGCTGTTGCCACCATCCTTCTTCCGGGAGCCGCCGCCGCCGCCACCGGCTCGCTTCGGTCTCGCTTCCTTCCACTTCCGGGGTAGGCGCCAATGAAGCGCGTTGAGCGAGCATACTCCCGGCCTGGGCGTTAAAAGTGCGCATGCGTCGCGCCTTCGCAACGCCGGTGGAGCCAACGCTTCAACCTCACGCCCCTTTATGAATGAGCTATACACGTGGCTCTCCGCGAAGCGACCGCGTCGTTCCAAACTGCGCGTGCGCGAAACCCGTGAGGCGTTCTCTCGTGTCCTGGTGACTGGGTTTTAAGCTCCGCCCCGCCGCGGCTGGTTTGAACATGCGCAGAAGAGGCCCGGTGGTGGAGAAGGAACATGCGTGTTGGGGACAAGGAAGGAGCCAGTGTGGCTTTGCGGAGTCGAGTGCAGCATGTGAGTGTGTTTTCTCTGCACCAAAGCCCTTTTTCTGATCTAAGGGGAAACTCCGTTTTTCTTTTTTCCTTGGTCCTTAATTTGCATCTGTAGAGGTTTCAATCCATAATACTTACCGTCAGGATCACTGTACATAAATGTACACATAACCCATTGACTTGTTGCCTGCAGACCTGATCGGTTTGCGAAACCAGGAGAGCGGCAGATGGCGACATTTTAGCAGTGGATTTCCAGTACTTGCTACTTCATACGTGATGATACAGTGTCATCACAAGTAGCAGCCATGCTGGGTCTCCGTTTAAACCTGACTCAGTTGGTGACCTTGACAACCCATGGTAGTAAATGGTGGGCGATGATGTAGGAAAACTTACGCAATAATACATACATTATCTTTGAAACTCTGCAAGTTACAAGGCTGTGTAATATAGCTCGAGTGAGAAAGAGAGAGAGAGAGAGAGAATTAAGTTTTGCAGTCCCAACGGAGGGGAAACCAATTGTGTTCTGGCAAGTTTTTGATGAGTGGGCTAGCTACTGAACAGTGTTTAAATCAGAAGTGGCCACTTCCATGTGTTTTTCATAATGCTGTAAAGCTTTATTAAACATTTTTGCATTTCTTTTTGTCATTATGTGGTGGAAAGGCAGAGTGTACATTCAGCTTTTTTTTTTTTTTAAACTTGCCTCTCTCTCAACAGGCAGGCAGCTCTGGAAATAACCTTGCGGTACTGCCACAAAGAAACCGAGCAATATGGCCGGTGTGTGGCTGCTAACCCTTCTTCCTGGCAGCTGGACTGTCACCAACTCAAACTTGACATGGCCAAATGTACATCATCCCAGTAAGTTCCCTTGGGCTGGAGTGCTGTTTTGCCTTTGTGGGGAAATTGGCTTTGATTAATTGAGGAATGTTCGCTCCATTACCTGCGTGTAGACTTCATATCATTTCTGTGTGTAACCACTGCAACTTGCTAAGTTCCTGCACTGTTCTTTGTCCATTTTTTTCTTATTTATAAATCTATGGGAGTTTTATTGTAGCCCAATTGTTCAGAAGATTCGCCGAGATTGTGCTGAGCCATTTACTGCATTTGAGGAGTGCCTTAAGACAAATCAGAGTTCTTCAATCAAATGTTCTGAACACCTCCAAAAATTTCTCATCTGTGCTGACCAGGTGAAACTGAATACATAAGGTTGGTGCCCCTAAATGTTTGTATTAGTCATTGGTATATGTGTGTATGCATAAATAAAATAATATAAAGCTAGAATTAATTTATTGCATGTCTTGCCCACATTGTAGCAGCCAATTGACATGATGTGAGAAAAGCTGAAAGAATTGACATATATGTCACACAAGCAGTAACAATATCTTATCCCTCTATAAGGGATACAGGAGTCAAAAATATAATTGAACAATCATTGTTCTCTTGCCCCAAGACCAAATTGTATCATTGTGAAACTTGAGAGGTGGTGGCTGGACCAAAAAGACGAGACATTCTGCATATCACATGGGCATTTTTGCTGCATTGAATTTCTTATAATGGGTGGAAAATAGTAGCTGATGAACTTCATTACATTCACCAACTGGGATTGATGAAATCATGCATTGCACTCTTTAGATTGATTGATTGATGATTATGTGCTCTCGGGTTGTTTTTGACTCCTAGTGACCACAATGATAGTTTTTTTTCTGTTATGATCTACCCCTAACCTGTTCCTTGAAATCTCCCAATAATGCAGCCATTGCTACTGTAATTGAGTCCATCCACCCTGCTGGTGCTCATTCTCTTCTCTTTCCTCCCACCTTTCCCAGTTTTTTTCACATCACCAATGTGTCTGAAGTAAAATACCCCCTAGAACTTGTGGAAACTTGTCAAACTTGTAGCCATTGGGCAGGATGCATCACACGCTGGCCATGCCTGGTTTAGCAAAGGGAAAGGTCACGATACGTCACATGATGACACAAGTTTTGACACCCCTGCCCTAGAAGATAATTAGTGAATTGACTTAGCTCACCTAATTGAACAGTGAAGTTATACTTGGTGTACTCTTAATTTAGAAAACAGTACTTTACTCACAACTAAGCAATGAGCTGTTGACAAACCAGTTTGAAAAATGACTAAAAGACTATGACAATTCTTTGCTTGTTTATCTTGCATTTGGGAAATTTGGATCCTGGGTGGTATAACTTACTAATGGATTTTAGAAGGATAATATTTCATTTTGTGTGTCTTTTCTCCCCCCCCCCCCCCCTTTTTTTTCACAATCCAGTCTTTTGATTTCTTCAGCAGAAACCTTGCTATTCCTTGAAGTGGCATTAAGACTAAAAAAATTGACCAACAATGGCACCAGCTTCTCATCTATCATCTTTTCCAGCCATCACCATCATTCATTTATCTGCAGCCATCCAAGATACCTCAGCTTGGCCCATTGAAATGGAATCCCAACTTAGGTATCTGAAGTAGATGTTTTATTATGCCTGGAACTTTTGCAGGCACCGTACAGTAAACTGCAAAGACCCCGAATCATCTTTTCTGACCCAATTTGGCAGACAGAATTGCAACGTTCTATGGCTCAAAGCAGAGTGATCCAGGCAGATTAACGAACAGAAGAAAAAAGGAATCTAATTTGTCCTGGAACTTCTCTGAAAGTATTTTAATCTTCTCTCATGGACTGTAAGACTTGCCTCAGGGTATTCTGTTTCTGTGCAGCTAATGGGAAGCACCTAGCCAACTTTGACCTGAAAAATCTAAAACAAGGTCAGACTTAATTTCTTAGATGGACAGTCACCATAGACTACCATAGTTTTATACAGATTGGGAAGCCAAAAAGAAGTCTGCAAAGAAGATACAAATACATTTTTTTTGTATTGTTACCAAGAAAAATACATGTTCATGCCACTCAGTCACTAGGATACAAACTTGATTCAGAGGACACATGAATCCATTAATTTTATTCTATTTGTAGTCAGTAGAGGGCACTCTGTAAACATTAGAACATTCTTGATTCTTTGCTTTATGGCTGTGTTGTAAAAGGTGACAAGAAAAAGGACATCAAATGCAACATTACATTAATGAAGTTCAACAGTTATCAGTCTTAAATATAATGCTTCTGACTGGATTTATATTCATAACTTTGAATACTATTAGAGTGATGTTTGTAGTATGTCACATGTTGCATTGCTTATATCATTTAGCCAATGGGATACGAGTTTTGGGAAAAATTAGATGGCATTCTTGAAATGATAGGGCAGGGGAAATTATTTGTAAGGAGGCATGAATAAATATGAAAGAATGAGAAAATCAAATGAAGAGCTAATATTGAATGGCCATGGCGACTATTTGATGAGTGCCCTCTTAGAAAAAAAAAGATTTAAGCATGTCAGTCCATACATAGGCATGGAAAAGTGACTAAAGCTAAAAGCATGATTGATTTGATTGTTTATGATGGCAGATTGAAATAATTATTGAATAATATAGAGGTACTGAGACATTCTGAATGTGAGATACACCATTATCTGGTAGAATCAAAAATAGATCGTAGAAAATGGATAAGGAAGGGAGGGAAAGAAGCAAGAGTAAAAGTAGAACAACTGAGGGAAGAGATATTACAGTTGCAGAGAAGTGTAGAGCTACATTAATAAAGAGTATAGAAATGGATGTATGGTGGAATGAAGTTTTGGAAAAAAATGGATGAGGAAAAAATTCAAGAGGGAGAAAAGTTAAGGATGAAGGGAAGAATGTGATCAGAGAGGCTAAGGACACGTTATGATTAGGTGAGGGAGGAAAATGCAGATTTTGATTAAAAAAAACATAATTGGAAGTAGATTGGGAAGATAAAACAAGGAGCAAAGTGAGTGGAATTTAGAATTAAGTGCTGAAATGAAACTGAAGTTAGGAAATGCAAGAAATATTTTAGACATTTGTAGAAGAATGATGGTGATTTGTTGAAGAGTGAAATTGAAATGAATGCTATATTGGTATCCGAAGCTTGATGGAAGGAAGATGACACTGTAAAATGTTGGAAAATAGAAAAGCCGCAGATTGGTAGTGACAGCATAACTGCAGAAATATTAAAATTGTCAATGTGGTTTGATTATGGAGTGACTGTGCAACTTGTTTAATGTATGTATGAAGTCTATCTATGCCTGTTAATTGGAGGAATGTTAATTTTGTTACCTTGTAAAAGGGAAAAGGTACCATATGTGAATGTAACACTCCTGTGAAATTAATTTGATAAGGGTTCCTGGAAGATACTCGGTAGAACTCAGATCAAAAGAATACAAGTGGTAATAATATTGAAAAGTGTTTTATATGGGCAATGTCTTAAAATGAAACTGGCAAAGAAGTTGTGCATTTGTTGATTTAGAGAAGGCAAAGGATGAAAGGGGTGGGCTTGAATGTTCTTTCTGCACTTGGAATTTGCTGAATGCAGAACGTAGAAAGAACATTCAAGCCCATCCCCTTCATCCTATGCTTTCTCTAAATCAACAAATGCACAATAAAAACCTTTGCCAGTTTCATATTAATACACTGCCCATATAAAATCCGTACAGGTAGTCTTCAACTTACAACAGTTCATTTCGTGACTGTTTGAAGTTACAACAGCACTGAACAAATGTGACATGATCATTTTTCACATTTATGATCTGCAGAACCCCCATAGTCACATGATCAAAACTCAGATACTAGGCAACTGACTCATATTTATGATGGTTACAGTGTCAACGTGACCCTCTTTTGCCACCTTCTGACAAGCAAAGTCAATGGGGAGGCCAGATTCACTTAACAATCATGTTAATACTTTAAGACCTGCAGTGATCCACTTAACAACTGTGGTTAAAAAAAAAGGTCGTAAAATGGGGTAAAACTCACTCAACCAATGTCTCACTTAGCAACAGAAATTTTGGGCTCAACTGTGGTTGTAAGTGGAGGAGTACATGCATGTGACGGAAGAAAAAGCATGGATGAAAATAGAATGCTTGGTGAATGGTTTAGCAGAGAATATGACAAATATGGATATTCCCTTATTTGCTTGCTCTATTCGTGGGTAAATGTATAAAAAATGTGACTTTAGAAGTTAGTTGGGGTGGTGAGCGTACATGTAGATTTTTAAGTAGCTGATGCTAAGTTATTGGCCAAGGGTAGAATGTAGCCAATTGTAGGATGCAATAAGGACTATGGAGCTGAACATTAATTATCAATGTCAGCCTCACTAAAGACCAGGAAATTAAATTCACAGGAAGATTAAAACTATATTCCTTCAGCTTGGCTGACTAACAAGAGTCTTGAAAACCTGAGTGTGCTGTATTTCCTCTATCTTCTTATATTTCTTATACTATGAATTAGGGATGTACCTGCCTGAGCCGCTTCCAAATATATTATCTCATTTCTCAGGACTTAAAAGATGTTTCAGCCCTTTTGCCTAGGTAAGGCTTCTTGTATATTTCCGTCAAGGTCATCTCGCTTACCAATAACCAGGATCAAATTGCAAAAGAAAGACATGGGGTAAGAATATATAGGTGAAAAGAAGGGAGAAAACACCAGACATTTGTGGTTGGATTGAATTAATGAATTTTCCCCAGAAGAGTGACGTTTTAAGAAATTATGTGAGGCACTGTGAAAGCGAGGATAATTTACAAGGATAGAAAAATGTGAAGAAGTACAATTGGTGTTAAATGTAAACTGGATATGGGTAGTTTCATATTTTTTTTCGTATCTCATGCTTTTGGCTCATATTTCTTACTCCTTTTCTGCTTTCTATGTAGTGCTGCTTATCCGGGAAGGAAATACAGGTAGCTCTCACTTATTAATTGCCTTTTTCAGTTGTAACTGTATAAACAGTCACTAAACATGGCAGTTGTTCATTGAGGACTACGACTGTTAGCTCTCCCAAACTGAAGTCCTTAAAATTTGTGGAGAATGCAATGTCTACAGTTGCCAGCCAGAGAAATAAAAATTTGTTAGCTGTGAGTTTTGGCATTTAGGGGTGGGATGGGGGGCAGGAAACCATTTGTTCTGTTTTCTTGGTTTCAAAGGCATATGATCCCCATTTACCATGACCAACCTTTGGGAAGTTAGCCTCTAATATGTAGAAAACTTTTTTTGGGGGGGAAAAACTCATACCGAAGGTGCAGCTTTCTTAAACACTTGCTTCATTTCCTCCCTGGAGGAACATAAATCACGTGAAAGCTAATTAATGAAATTTTCTAAATGGGTGGTGGTGTTAATGGGCATTAGTGCAGAAGAGTGACTTGTTTTATGTCCTCCCTCTGGGTCAACTCCCCACCCCATCCCACAACCTCAGACCAGGATGGGAATATTGCCTTGAACCACTGCACCCTTGAATTGCCATCTCCTGCCAAGCAACTTGTCAGCTTTGCCTTAATTCCTCATGTGGAAAAATGTCCTCATTTTACACACCGTTTCTTGTTTGCTCTTGAGAATGTCCATAAATCAGCACAAGGCCTTTTGGTGTCCAAGTTCTTTTTGCTGGCGCAGGAAGACAACTTTTGAAATCCACAGAGAGGCTAGTATAGGGAATTGCATTCCATTTGTGTGCTCAGGTGCACACACACACACACACACATACACACACACATACACTGACACAATGGCTTGCCTCCAAGAAAAGTCATATATAGCCAATAGCTATGAGAGAGTGAGTGGAGGACATGGATGGTGCAAAGAATCAACGGACCATTGATTTGCACCATTTTTTCTAATAGCTACTTTGCACATTAGTTAACCCATGAACTACTTCTCATGGTAAAGGAGAAAATGCACAAACCCGTTCCTGAAACAGGTGTTGAAGTATATGAACATTCATATGTTCTTGGTGAGAATTCAGATGCCTGCATGTCCTAATTCCATAAGCGTATAAAGGGGGAGAGGGATAATTTGAAAAAGGCTTGACAAAAGTGTGCATGGGTTCCTTTATGGGCCCTAATTTTGTGAGCAATAATAATCACAACCAGCACCGGATTCTATGCAGATATTCTATACTGGACCCTTCCAGAGTCCCAAGCTTGATCAAGTTATCAGAAGATACCATGTCCCGACAGCTGTCAATGGTGGACCTCAGATTTTCTCTGAGGTCCACCACTGACAGCTGTCAGGACATGGTATCTTCTGGTAACTTGCTCAAGCTTGGGATTCTGGAAGAGTCCAGTATAGAATATCTGCAGGTCTGCAGATTCCCTTCTCCTTCCCAGTAGCAGACATGAGCCAGCCAAGCCAAGTATACTTAATTCAATTTGATTTCAATCTGTGAAAAATAAAATGAGCATTTTCTGCGGTGAGGATGGCTTCCGGAGTTCTTCTCCCTGGCTTTATCTTATTTCTTTGTGTCATCATCTTCCAGTTTTAGACTTGGAAGCCCTCTGGTCTCCCATAGATGAAGATCAAGCTTCTCTTGGTGCTGTGCTGCTTTGCGTGGTGTGCCTCTTCCCCACTCCCTTTGCTCCTCTAAGATGAGGCCATGTTGTCCAATTCATCCGTTAGAAATGGAATATCCCCAGGTGGATAATAATACATACAGGTAGCTACTGCTTTTTAAACAAAGTAATAGGTATGTTTGTGCCACCCAGTACAGGATCAATAAGGTTTACAGATTCCAAAGGATTAAATCATGCAAAATAAAACAGAATCCACATGACAAGGTATTGCTGTTGCTGGTAGCCCTACTGGTCTACTACATAGTTACACTTTTTTAAAAAACTGCTAGATGAGTGAAGTATTTGTGGATATAGAATAAGTACTTTGTTGTTTTTAAATGTAATCTTCCTTAGATAAATATTTGTGTGTTGAGGGAAATGAGTATCCATAATGTTTGACTGCACTTTCTACAATAACTACAATGGCTGTACCTATTAGTAGAAGATGCAAGTTTTTTTTTTTTTTTGCAGTTCAGATGCTTAAGAGAATGTGGGGCTATGCAAAAATGTGGTGTCAGAAAGGAAAGCAACAAGATCCCATGAAGCCAAATGGATGTTTTATTGAATGACAAGGAGCTCCATAGGGTGCTGTAACTTCATAAAAATTGGATGTGCCTCATGCAATCTAGTAATGATGGGCTCTGTTCTCTACCAATCAGATTTGTTGTTGCTCAGGGACTCTGAAGGATGTATGGTCAGTTGCGTTCCATCCCAAAAGTTCTATCTCTGTATCTTTTCTGATGTTCCATGGAAATTCTTGTGGGTTTTTGAAACCATATGCTGCTCTATGGGTTCCTATGCAGATGATTCCCTGAGAAATTACCCTTTTCCAGAGTGAGGGAACAGTTTATAATGATTCTTCTTGATTATAACTGCATTCTGAACTGTACAGCTTAGAACATCTCCAGTGTCTATATTGTTCTGCCGCCAGGAATTGAGTCTGTTTACAGGTAGTCCTTGACTTACGACTGGTTGCTTAGCAACCTTTTTTGAAATTACAATAGGTCTCCCTGGAGGTACTTACAACCTGGTTCTGAAGTTCTAGTGTTGCCCCACTATGGTCACATGACCACACATTGGGCATGTTGGCACTTGGTAACTGGCCCCACATTTTTAATTGTTTGCATCATGTACCTCATTTTATGATGGTTTTGCCCAAAAACTGAAGTAAATGCTTTTTTTTTTGACAAAACTGGACCATAGCGGTTCAGTTTTGGTTCGCTTAATGACCACAAAAAGGTCATAAAATTGGGTCAGTCACATGGGTGACTCATTTTACAAGCATCACAACTTACAAC